GCTTCTTTGTGGAATTTGTCTATCTTACTGATTGATCTTAAATTTTTCAGAGAGGAAGTAGTTCGGGAGACGCTGGGGGAGCTGCTGACAGAGTTTTGAATCAACTCCTTACTGAAATGGATGGGATGAACGCTAAGAAGACTGTGTTCATTATTGGTGCAACCAATAGGCCAGACATTATTGATCCTGCACTTCTGCGTCCTGGTCGTCTTGACCAATTGATTTATATTCCTCTCCCTGATGAAGATTCTCGTCACCAAATTTTCAAGGCATGCCTGAGGAAATCACCGCTTTCTAAGGACATCGATCTAAGAGCACTTGCAAAGTATACACAGGGCTTCAGTGGAGCTGACATTACAGAGATCTGTCAACGTGCTTGCAAATACGCTATCAGAGAAAACATTGAGAAAGTAAGTTCCTGAGCTCCTCTAGTCCGTTGATAACTATTAGTCTAGCATCCGTTGGTTACAGAAAACTAACGTGGACATGTGTGTTTGTTTGCAGGATATCGAAAGGGAGAAAAGGAGAAGTGAGAATCCTGAAGCCATGGAGGAAGACGTTGAAGACGAGGTACCTGAGATCAAGGCTGCTCATTTTGAGGAATCAATGAAGTATGCTAGGAGGAGTGTCAGTGATGCTGATATCCGCAAGTACCAGGCTTTCGCTCAGACGTTGCAACAGTCCAGAGGTTTCGGTTCTGAATTCCGATTTTCCGAGACCAGCACTGCAGGGACAACTGGAACTGCTGCTGACCCCTTTGCAACTTCAGCTGGTGGAGCAGATGAAGATGACCTGTATAGTTAGGTTGTCCAAGTTTTACTTACATATTTTACATACATTTGGAATTCTGTATTAATTCAGTTTAAAAACTTGTGAGTAGCAAATTGAAATCTCTCCTTTGCTGCTCTCAGTTTATAATTCATGTTTGGATCTTTTTGCTCAGTTTATAATTTATATTTGGATCTTCCATAGCTGTCTTTTATAATTCATTTTATTTTTCATGATGTATGACTTTGGTGCCAGAAAACAGGAGTTTTTTTTTTTGTTGTTTGGCAAAACATGTGTTGAATGTGAGCATTTTATATCTGTTCTGGGAGACTTCTTATAATGAAATAATCCAGAAGTGTGTATATAGCGAAAGTTTTAGTGTATCGACCTGTTTTTTTATATACTTGATGTCTATATCCTAAAATCTTGAATCTAATTATAAAATTCAAATCATGGATCTGGTAAAAAAAAATATTAAGTGCAGCTATTAGACTAACTTATTTTAGGTGAGGCAATTGCACATGAGTGCTAAAAAAATAGTGTTTCCCAATTCAGTGAATGACCTTAACGTAACTACTAAACTATTGGTTCTTTGTTTGACTACTCTTATAGAAAATTTTGCACTTATTATAAATTATAATTTTGTTAAAACCTATCAAGAATCTTGTTTCCCTTTTCGGAATACTTTTCCGTTCATTTTTACTAGTCGATTATATATTAAAAACATGTGTGCATCTCTGACAACTTTGAAACAGTATAACCTTTTCGTGCTCTTGTTTTATCTATGACGCCAAAAAGGTTTTAAATCTTTAATGTTAAGAGTAAAATTAGATATAAAATATTAAACTGTTGTATTGAAAAAACGATATAAAAAATTATCATTCTATTTATTATTCATTAAAAAATATGTTAAATTAATATAATAGGGAACAATGAAAAATGGACGGAGAGCGTATTAATGAAGAAAGTGAAATGATGTGATTGGGTTAGGGTCCCATAAAAGTGGACCAAATGAATATTGAATAAGAAGGGTGCACACGAGTGGCCCTGTTTTGGTGCAGACTGCAGATTCTTGCTGTCCGCTCCATGTCGATTACCCTTTTCCGTTGGAATGTATCTAAGTTTATGATACGTATTATCTGTTTTGATTTAGTAAATTTAAAAATTTTATTGTTTAGATCATGTTATTAATGAATTTAAAATGGTATCATACATGTGAACTTACGTTATGCCTAAATCTTATATATCACTTCACTTAGTATCTCCATTTTTGTTGTGGAGTTTGGTTAAGTGTCATATGCAACACTAGAATACTATCTAAACTAAAAAAAAATTCTCGTCTTATTTGATTAATAGTTTACTAACTAAATGTCAATTGAGAAAGAAAAATAATTTCTTATCTTATTCTAAATCATGCATGATATATAAAATAAATAAATTCTGTTTGACAAAATGACTAATATTTGAGATTGAATAAATTATTCCCTCTGTCCACTTTACATATCCATTATAATACAAGTAGATATTCATTTTTATTTGTTCAATTTAATAAATTAAGAGATAATTTATTATTTTATATTGATTTTACCCTTATTATTAAGTCCTACTAATCATTTTCAATATTCATATGACTTAAAAGGGTAATTAGGTGACATAGTAAAACTATTATTTTGTTTTAATATTTCTTAAAGGGGTGTGCAGAGTCAAACATAAATAAAATGAAGTGAGTAACTTCTAGCACAATAATTTTGTAGGGAACGAGAAACTAAAGAAACAAATTTGAAAAGCTTAAATTTGCAAAATTAATTGAGTCTTATTCCAAACTAAAACAAAGTTGAAAAACTTTCAAACACTCAAATACTAAATGCATCTAAGCTATAGTTATATATACTTATATATATATATATATCTTGTGGCAACTTGTACACTTATTTTCATCACAATATAAATTAGCTTGTTACCAAGAAATTAAACTATGAAGCAAGATGATAAAATATTAAAGCACAAAAACTAATGATGAAACCTATAAAAACCCAAAAATCAAGATTCAAAACTATATACTAAAATTCATAAAGAAACTTGCAAGCTTATAAAATTCAATGATCATTTCTCTCATGCCAACAAACAAGCATAGCTATGCATCTCCTGAGAATATAAAACTTAGTTTTCTTCTTCTTTGCCAAATCCTTGCATTTCTTCATCAAACTATTTTTCTTCGAAATTTTCGCGGTGCAACAATTTGCAGTACTACTAATAATAATGTTCTCTTCACTTTCAAATTCTTTTGGTGCCATGGATATGAAATTAAAGAAGAAAAAAGAACATTTATATATAGTTAGAAGAGGATATAATATAAATGTACATATGGTTTTTAGTAATACATATGTCACTTCTTTTTATAGTACTGGATCTGAGTGACACTTTGGAGCAATTATTTTGTGATATATAATATTATTATAGCTGTTGATATATTGTGTATTTATAATCAATAATCTATACGAATATGGCTAATTTTTTTTAGTAATTTTAGATATAATAATATTAACTCAATTGCTACTAAATAATTTTACGACAATAAATATTGCGGCTAAAAGAAAAATGTTTGTCACTAAATATGTTTGTTATTGTTGTAGTAGTGTTTGTGCAAGATTTTTTGGATCTTGATTTAGGTGATGTATAATTTTGTACGAAATTTACATTTACTCCTTGTTGGCTTTTCAAACGTGATGGATTGGTTTCTATCATTTAATTAGTAGGGGAAAGGTTAGGTAATTGTACTATGTATATCAGCATGGGTTGTGGTGCAGACGTGCAGTGGTAGGACTGCTTCATCCTTAATCAAAGGTTTTGGATTCGAGCTCCGGATATGGAATTTTTTTTAATGGGAGCACCACCTCCGAATGAACCTTGCAGTATGTGATTTGAATTTAGTCGCAGCTCCAATGTGGTCTCTAGATATTGAGTGGGAAACAAAAAAAATAAACTGATACTATATATACAGACTATATATTACCACATTTCACAGTGGCAATTAAACACTATTTTGTTTAAGTTAAGACATTGTAGTGTAGTCGTTGCTGAACGCTGCATTTTAGTTGAAAAGACGCGCTCAAATTTCTATCATTTATTTTGGATTACAAGTTTTAAAAGTCTTTCTTTCTTTCTTAAACTCCGTAAGTCAAACTATCTCACATAAAATAGAACGGAGAGAGTACTACTTTTTATTTTTGGTATATTTATACCGATACACAAAAAATAGTCATTCTCTTAACGTATGTTAAAAATTACCACCAAGAATGTGGTGAGAATGACTAAATTCTAAAAAAGATTATCATGTATCTATAGTCAAACAATAACACATATACTCCCTTGTCACAATTTATACGAAGTCAGTTTTAAAAAAATGATATATTTTTAAATTAATTTAACACAAAATTTCCATTTTATCTTTAATAAAATAATTTATATTCACACAAACATGCATTATTGGATCATATAAAATGAAACGAATGGAGTGATTAATATGGAAACAAAGGAAGTAGTAGTACATTACGCCTCTCTTTAGAAACAATAAATTTACTATTTGTGGTTAAAGTGAAACTTGTTTTTTTTTTTTTTGACAAGTTATTGGTACCTTTGAAAACAGGTACCAATATAATTAAGGCACGTTCACGTGCATGACCAGGTACGGTGTGAGTGTGACCATATTAAAGTTTTATTTTTTCCTGCTCACTAAATCTTTTTTCAGTATCAAATTATTAATTACTCATCCGTTTTCAATTCATGTGATTGTCAATTATTGTGACTTATAATATATTTTTTACGTAGTTTATAAATATATAAATTTTATTGTACAAAACTGAAGATTTCATGGGCAAACTAACCATTTGACTCTAAAAAAAAATGAAATGTGTCACATAAATTGCGACAGAGAAAGTATCCAATTTCTAACAGATTTTTATTTGAATTAAGTTGATCAGTTTAGTTATAAATCAAGTTAATTACATGACTATTTGTTATTTCTTAATTGTGTAAAGGTTAAGGTCTACACATCCACCAACGTACGTGTATATATATATATATATATATATGACATATAACAATGCAACTTTTCATAATAAATCGACTATGGCAACATTAAAAATAAAGTAATAATCACTACGTACAAACAATTAAATTATACTGATAATATTTTAATTTAAACCGCGATAGAGATCGATAACACACATAATTCACACAATAGGTGGTGTAGCATCCGGCGGAGTTGTCACGGAAACCACCCGCCGGCCTCTTTCCGACCGGCTATTCTCCGCAAACTTCAAACTCCCCTCATCCAACCCCTTTAACTTCTCCTCGTCATTCCACTCCAACCCATAATAATATTCTTCATTAAATTTCGCGATATTTTTACTAGGTGGTAAAAACATACTTCCCCATTGTGGAAAATGCACCAACGTGACGGGAAGTGTACACACCACAATCATCACACCCATATACAACAATCCAGTCGATGTTGAATAATTCGCGTTGGTGAAAAAAAGAAGTTGAGTTAAACCCGATCCAAAATTTCCACCAGCTCCAGTTAGACCAGAGATAACACCAAGCGATCGCCTCGAAATAAAAGGGATAATACCAAATGTTGCACCAGCTGCAGCTTGTGCACCAATTGAGAAAAGTATCATTGATAAAATTGAAATTGGGAGTTTTTCGGATTTTCCGAGGAGAATACAAAAGATTCCCCCGAATGTTTGGAGGATCCATAGATTCCATAGACGACCTCTCATACCGAATCGGTTAGCTAAAACGTCTGAAGTTAGGCCTCCCAAGGGTCGAGCCAATATGTTAGCCATGCCAAATGTTGCAGCAATTGTACCGGCCGTTCGAAGCTTAAGGTTAAACCTTAATATTAAATCAAGAAAACAAAAAATTATAAAATGATATCTATGATCATCATGTGAGTTTATTTCGTTTCTTCAATAACATGCTTTGATGAATAGAATTAAATCGCGATTACTGTAGTCTAATATATTATAACATGTTATTATACTAGGTTTCATGCTATAAAATAACAACTTTAATTTATTATTTAAAACAGAATGATAAATTTCTAAATTTTTGTTTTACCCTATATGAAGCACAAATGTTATGATATTCTTAAAAAAATTAAAAATTCAAAAGTATTTATAGGTATACAAATGATAATGACAATTTTAAAGATCACAAATTTTAAAAATATATATTTTCATAAATTTTATGCCGATTCAAATTAAGTTAGAGAACGGAGAGAGAATTATGTTAGAGCTTGAGAGTGGAAATCGATGAGAAAGGAAGATGTTCTTACCTATCGAAAAAGTATTCAGCAATGACATTATCAGTGGTTAATTCCACACCTAGTGACATCCCATATAGAAGAACAAAAATCCATGTTCTATAGTTTGTCACACCATACCAAAGAACCTAAATAAGACAACAATAAAAAATAACTTAAATAAGAATATTTGATACTTATCTAAAATAATAATAATCAAAAATACATTTGAAGCATTATACTTTTACAAGTTTTTTTATCTGAATTAACTATGTGTTCATTATTTCTATCTTATTGAAACGCATCTCAACTATCATTTGTTTCATTTTTTCTACTTGAACAATGTGATGATATATGAGATAGAAAAAAGGAACAATTGATAGTTGAGATTATTTTGATAAATAATTGATGATAGTTTAGTACACTCGCAAAATCCGATACTTCTTGATTAAGTTACCTTTGAGAATTTATCTTTTGCAACGTCTCCTTTCTTTTGTAAGGTACCAAGATTTCCATCCGGCAAATCTTGACCTAGCCCTAAAACCAATAAACCCATGACCACGTGTAACCATCCCGGTACAAAAAAGGCGATTCGCCAGGCCGTGAACGGGGTGGCCCCGGCCTGGCGGATCAGCTCATAAAGTAAAGGCATGAGCAATTGAGTGGCCCCACCACCCATATTTCCCCACCCTGCTGCCGTACCATTAACTACTCCAATAATTTTACTATTAAACATCGTACTCATCCAATACTGACACGAAACAAACGTAGCTAACGAAAATCCAATCATGAATCGAACCGCGATGTATCCACCGGCCGACGACACGAACGACATGCAAAAAACCGTTGGAGCGGTTAACATCATGAGAAAAGCGCACCCGTAACGCGGGCCTAACAAATCACATACCGCACCCATAACAAGTCTAGAAAAAATACTACCGGAAACCGAGGCGATTCCGGCATTTCCAATGTCGGATTTTGTTAGGTTAAGGTTGTCCCGAATAATTGGGACTAAGGGTGCAGCAGCGAAAGTGGAGATGAAACAAGTGAAGAACGAAGTCCAAGAAAGGTGGAAAGTTGTCATGTGTGGTTTCGCAAAGGAGAAAATTTTAAAGACTTTTGATTTGTGTTCAGAATCAACTGGTAAGGCGAATTTCGCCATTGTGTCCGTAGGGATATTTGGATCGGATGTAACGGAGAAGGCAAACGTTTGTTCTTTGCCGGTGACTCCGTGCATGGAGGTTCCCGGAGAGCCACCAGCACCATCATTTTCAGCCATTGTGTTTTAGGAGAATTATGAGATTGTTTGTTTTTTATAACATTCTAAGTGAGGATATCCATAATATATACTATTGTCCTAGTAAATTGTAATGATATTTTTTTGAAGTGCTCCATCTGTCTCTTTTTACTTGACCCCGGTTGATTTGACACTATTCATAAAATAATATTTTTAATCTAAGATACAAGTAAAAAAAATACAAAAGAGAGGGAGTGTATAAAACTTATGGTTTTGAAAGTGATCTTGTAACTCTGGTTATAAAACAATTATGATTGATGTCATCACTCTTTGTAGGAAAAGATTGGGAATAGATAAAGATATACATTAATTATACGCCATAGTGATACACATATTATACATAGGTTATATATATATATATATACGCGTGACGGCTAGGAGCAGTATGTATACTTAATATAAGTGGATTTTTATTCATACCATTTCATTTTATGTAACATGTTTAACTGAGCATATAGTTTAAGAAAACCAGAATACTTATAAGACTTTTGGCTCGATCTTATATACCCGTAGATGGGATATGCTATTCTTTCTGATCATAACAATTACTTTAACCAGTGAAAGAACAAAAGACATAGATATACCAACTTTTTGAAATTATGTTGGACAAAGGATTCGGACCTGAATGATTTATTTATGACCAGGATGAATATTAGGTGAAATTAAATGAAAGTCCAAATCCACTGATGTTGAATCAAATATTGTTATTTAATTTATTTTTATTGTTGTATTATAAAATTCAATCATATCGAACTTAATAGTACAAAGTTCTCTGTCTTTTGATTATTTTTATTTATTTATTTTTCAATTTTTTCCCTTTAAGATGTCCTTAAAGTTTTCTATATAGTATAAGTTGATTTGACAATATCGTTCTTTCTCATTTTGTTGTTTTGCTTTTGAATTATATGCCACATGCCGAATGGTTGCTTTAGATTTTGTTTAATCATATGGAATAATAAGTTTTTAAATTGTTTTAAATTTATGTGTTTATTTTCCAATAAAAAACCTATGGAGTTGTTCTTTTTCATTTGTTAGGTACCACTTTGTGAAGTTGAAATTTTCTCCGCAGCATATGGCATATGCCATGACAGCCTTATAATTAAAAACAATACCAATAAAATTAGGTGAAAATAAAAAAAGGCCTTTCCAACTATATGGAAACCAACAAAATTTGGATGAATGCGCTTATCTTTTTCTGTTAGTTTCTTTACTATATTCTTGGACCAATACATAAGCTAGTCGTTTAGATGGACTCAATTATACGATATTGAAATTATCTGTCGTGATTTTTTTAAAAATAATTACAATAATAATATACTTAAAGTGACTCCATAAGTGAAATCTGAAATTTCTAAACATAGTTGTCTCAATCTATTCGTCATTTTAGTAGTTCATAACAAGATTAATTATTATTATTTTCATTTTCACCGTGATTAGTATAGTAATACGGAGCGTTTCATATCCAAAATGAAGGCCCATATATAGATAGCCGGCCCAATGCACATGATGATCTTTTAAATTACAGAAATCACACCTTTTAGTTTACTTATTACCATTATCCCCTATAAGTTTTACAAATCTCCAAAATCCCTCATTTTCGCGCATCAAATTAGTGTATCTCGCGCATCAGATTAGTGTATCATGTATAAAATGTAATGTATCTTACTTAACGATTAATGTATTTCACGCATCAGATTAATGTATCAATGCTTATATTATTATATCCGTTTGAGGGATTTCTATAATTATAAACTTTTAAGGGATAGATTGTAATTTTGCCTTAAAAGTATGTGGTTTCTGTAATTTGCCCATTTTTACCAATATTGATGTTTACACAAATAGCCGAAAAATATTCAAGAAAAGTAAAGGGAAAATGGAACTTGATATACATATATTTTATACTAATTATACATAATTATACTAGTAGTACCTGTAAAATAACACAATTAAAACTTGAACGTCTTAAACATGGTCATTGGGTTGTTCTCTTTATTAATTTGTAATGGGATTACCCGTGTGTAATGGCAAAGCCAGAATTTTGGATAAGAAAATTAAAAAGATTTAATAAATGGCATACCTGGAGAATTGCGATTGCCAGGTATTTCTCTTATATTATTAAGAATAATAAGAAGATTCAAAATTATAATTATGTACATGATTTTTTTTAATCCTATATATGTAGTATATAACTCCGACTAACACTTTGTTTGGATGGTTGTTATGTATTGTTTCATAATGTATTGTGTTGTATTGTATTGTTTTAATGAATACAACGTTTGGATATATTGTATTGTTCCCTGTCATTACATAATGTCACATATTCCTAATTTGAATGATAAACCTACAAAAAATTGTAGGATACATGACAAAACTACTATGAAAAAGTAGGATAAATGATAAATTAGAAACGCTTCATATTTTGCCTAATTAAAATAAGAGAAATAATCTAATAACCCTGTGTGGACCACAAATTCTACAACTAAAATTATATGTACGATTCCACAACCTGGCCTTTTATGTTACAGTATTGTTTTTTGTCAAAAATAAAATAAAATTATACATCGAAATAGTATAAAATTGTTGTATAGTGACATGACTTTATTATTATGCAGGTCCCAACGTGAAATCAGTATCAGTATTTATATTGTGTTTGGTAATTGTCTTCAATATTTTTATTGTGTAAAGCATGAAAAAAGGGAATCTAACATAGAAGAATAGTACGAGGAACCATGTGCTTGGAGGTTTTTATCATGTTAAAATATTTTAAATAGCCAACAACATAGGAATATGTTAATTTTTTAATCTATTTTTAGGAACTCTCCTTATAATGAGGAAGTAAATACCTTATATATATATTGTTAATTTCTTAAACAAAAAATACTACTTGTATTATATATGTACCCCCATTCCATTTTGTCTGGTTCAAAAAAGAGCAATATATATAGAGAGATTATTATTTTTTGATTTTAACTTCATATTTTAGATTATTTTTCTCCATCAATATTTTTCTTATTTAGTTACGGCTTATAAGAGATTTTTCGTTGTTTTTTTCCTATTTCGTTCTCAATGGCTGGTATTTGGTAGACAACTATTAAAGAATGAAAAAAAGTCTTATATTAATGGTTAATGAGATGTGTGGTCTCTTTATAAGACTTAAATGACAATCTTCCTCCATTTGATCTAGATTTTGGGTAGGGTGTTCGTGGTTCAGTTTGGATCGATCGGTTATTGATTAAAATCAAAACCAAATCAATCTAGTCGGTTTTTAAAATTTCTAAAACCAAATCAAACCAAACGAAAAAATAACCGTTGGTTTGGTTCAATTTTTCTGGTTTATTCGATTTGAAACTATGATTTTTTGAGGACTTACTATCTCGATAGACACAATCACCTAGCACATGAACAATCCACAGAAAAGCTAATGTTGGTTCAATTAAGCAATACTAGAGTTATCATTACACAAAGAAAGTGATTAAATTAAGAGAAAATGTAACTATTTTATGTGAAGTAGGGTAGGTAAAGAATAAAATGAATTTTGATGGACATGGACTTAGGATTGTTATAGTTGGGCTAAAAATGTTGGGCTTGAGAAAATGGTAAGTTAAAGACTTAGGTGTTGTAAAACTTAAGAACAAAAGAATAATATAAAGATGAAGACAAGAAGAATATAAGACAAGAGGAACAATATAAGATAACTTTCTTTCTTTCAAGTGTTCACCAAATCTTCAAGTGTATACAATATGAACCCTTATGTCTCCATTTATAGTGTAACATAGAGGCATACAAAAGGTTAGTCATAAACATGACATTAACATGAATATAATGGGGAGGTTATGGAAGTGAAAGGTTACAAGAATAATGGTTATAAAG